TATCATATTACACAGAGAGAATTATTGTATATAGAATGCATATAAATATATTGTAAAGCTATTGTCACCAACCACTCCTTTCAAAACCGAAACGCATGAGATAAATGACTGTTACCAGTATCGTGATATATGTTCTATATTCCAATTTACGAGTAAACGCGTAAATGTCGATGGCCTGCTAATCACATATAATCATTTTTTACCAGCAAACAATATTCCGGGTACGAAGCTGGCGGTAACTCGTTATCCGACAGCCTCGACCTTAAATCATCGCCGTGTCGCCGTTTCGTATTAAACGTTATCAAATCGGAGTTAACTGGAGCTACAAATGAAAATTACAAACGGACCGTGGGCAACTGCGATCCACGTTTTTCACAATGAACTCGCGATAACGATTTCAGCTCGTTGGCGCCGCGTCGTTCATGACGATAAACGGACGAGTTTTAAAGCAGCGGCCGCGTAACTCGTTTCTAATTTTACACGGTTTTATCGAAATCGTCGCCGCCGCGATTTCTTATTTCGAACGCGGCAATCGATTATACTCGTCACGGGGCGTTCGCATGATTTACTGTATATTCACACGTACACACATTATGTAGGGATAAATTCCGTCACGGCCGACGCGCGACTGACTCTCGCAAGACTAATTACCGGTCTATCTCGAAAACCAGTTAGCCGATCCGTAATATGGCTAATCTATTCGATTATTGAGGGATAATAACCGGTAGTTCGGTAATGCTTTCCTCAGTCAATCCTCGTGTTACGTGCTGGACCGAGTACAAAATTATTAACCAGTTGTGCACTCTATTTGCTGGCCTAAAATTTCCAGGATAGGAGTCCGAGAGCCCTGTTTCATTTCTATCTTGAATTACGCCCAGCATTGCTGACAAAATACAAACAATTTGCGATGTTACATACGTGCTATGTGCACGATATATATATGAACGCTTTCAACCTTTTGAAAAATGAGAAAACCTAATAGCGGTATCTACAATGCTATTCTCACTGGCAACTGTATACAAACTTTCCCGAGTACGAGGATATTACATTTCTACGACTGTTATATTTTATCTAGAGCACAGAGCGCCGTCTAATTTTTTATAAAAATTGAACAATCGCACTTTGACCCACCTCCCCCCCTCCCCCGGTACAGGCTTTATTTATCTCTTCGTTTCCGTTTTAGTCCAAAACTCATTTACCGTGAGTGCTTTGCGACCAAGTGTGGTTGTCATTGCGGAGCACGTGTTGTGTCACTAGACATGCATTTTACAAATGCCACCATAGAATCGAGACTATGGACAACGATTTCTGAAATTGTCATAATAAAATTCCAAATGCGCAATCACGTTTGATATCAGTGACGTAACCATTAATTCTTATCATACTAAATAGTAATAACTGTTCCCTTTTAGAAGAATCTTCCCTGTTAAGAAAGTGAGATCATGTTCATTATGAACATGAACGCATTTGATGAAATAAGAGCATTCCGCTTTTATTCGCTTTATAACTTCCGTCGAAAACAATCGCTTTATTTCATCTGTCACAATAGAGAGTACACAAAAAGTTTCGCGCAATTACTGTGCACCCTGCGAAAAAGCTACACCTCGGGCGGACAAAGTCCGTTTGATATCATGGAATGCATAGACCGGCGAGCACGCACTTTAAACAGAAAGAAGTTACTTTATCCGGTGACGTGTTTGCCGTACTCAACAGAGTAACAAAGTATTAAGGGAAAACCGGCGTTAATAGAAAATGTCTAATAGTTCTGCAGGACTCATAATGTTAAATATTTATTTTCTTACTCAGCAAATGCTGTAAGCCCTTGCGTTCATAAACTCTTTCTTCATACAATAAAATCCGATATATTCGGGAGTCTCGTGCGAATTTTACGACGGCCAAGGGACGCTGCGTTAACGAAAGGCGGTTATAATCTCATTTACGACGAAGTAGATCTCGATAATTCTGTTAAGGCGTGAGCTGTCAACGGCACTATTATCGGAAAGTCGGAACAATCGATGGTATTCGTATACTCGATCTCGAGGAGCTACGGAACACCGGGATTGAAAATCGATGCCTGCGCTGTTCGAAACTTTCGACGGGTTCTCTTTTGTCGGCGATTGAAATTCGAAAGAAATTGGATTCACGAGAAGACTGGCGCATTACAGCGAACGGGCGAGTACCTAAATTGAATGTCGATGCTGTAAAGAGGAATTCATAATTTATGGGTGAATTATGCAACATAAACTTAATTGTTAAAATAGATCATTTCATCGAATATTTGGATCAAATAATGAAACTTGATATAAGAAAATCTAACTAGAACTTCCTTTAAAACTGAAATTATTTCATTCCACGAAATTATTTAATGGGAAACGGGAAAATCAAAAGGATGCAAATTAATTGATGTACCTGACAGTTGATCCGTTTCGAGAAATGAGAGAGAACTTTGAATCGGGTTCATGAGTAAACTGAGATTGCTTGCACCGTTTCGAAAGCCATATTTGTTCGCTGAAGAACTATAGATATTTCGAAGAAAACTCGAGCCCCCGGGACTCGTCATGGGGTTCTCTAACTTTCAAGTGGCATGGTACAATCAGTGGGAAATAAAAATTAAATTTCCAATTACAACTGAAATCGTACGATTCAGAGCTTCTATTTCTTTCTTCTTCGAATAAGAATTTTTCTAAATATTGCCTACTACTTTGCTTATCACTGCGTCGTCCTACGATTTTTCCGTGAGTTTGCTAATTATAAGTATAATGTTCTTTATTTCGACAGTTATAAATCTAGGATGTAAAGATAGGAGGTAAAAGTGGTGAAATTGAACAAGACGTTTTATCTCTGCACTCTCACCGTTAGCGAACGATTGGCAAAATTTTTATAGGATAATTTCGCACCGTTAGAGTTATATTAAAAGCTTCATAAGATCCGTATATCCTCCGAGCGATAAGTTTTCTCGTGCTATGGAACGACGGGATATAGACGAGGAAAGAATACGTGATCCTTGTAAATCCTTAACGCTTTTTTTTCCCAACTTTACTTTTACGATCAACAGAGGAAGCATAAAGTTGCCGCCGATGCTATGGTAAGTCTCCAGTCAATCATTCGTTGGCAGAATAAAACGATTTTATATCATGCTAACATTATTTAATGTAAAGCATACTAATATTTTGAAAAAAGTAAATCTTTTCGTCTGATTAAAAACAAAAAATAATTCACGTTCCCTCGTTCACTACAAGAGGAAGAAACTGATGCTCTTATTTGGCCATGCGGTTTCTACCATACGTCACAAAATCGTCGAGTGACGTTTAAACGCACGGCCCGGCGCCACGAATGAAAATTGTTGAACGGAAAATAAGCAATTCGTGTGGGTTGGTTACACGCCGAGCAACGCTTCAAGTCGTGCGAAGGCGGTAACATATACTTTCGCAGTGCAATATAGTCGAATCCAATATTCTCAATATCCTCAGGAAACGTAGACCAGGTCTTTGGTCCCATTGGGTCTAAATCCAATCACGGAAACAAGAAAGAAATCGCGAGCGTTTACGATAAATAGGCAAGTTTTATAGTTTATACAATGCCCGCCCCGCTTGCCGTTTTTTATTTCTTATACAATTTCCTATCACTATTTAAAATAGTATAACAATAGATAATTCTATTCCTTTTAAAAAATCAGTTGCATTTTACGAAGTTATCAAAAATATATGGAACAAGTTGTCGCGCATTTAGAATGCACAAGTCGTATAAAAAACTAAAAGAATGTAAGTACGTTATTATAATTTACATTATGAACTTTTTCAAAAATTAAATTGTAAGTGTATACAAGTTGTTACATCAAATTACTCGCGCTGCAGTAGGAGCGCTTGCCTTCTTTCTAACACGTAATGCGATACCATCACGCGAAGGGTCTACGCAGTTGATCGTTAACCTCTGACGTTAATTAACAGGTGGAAGAGAGTGAAACATTTTGAAATGACTCCCTGAAACAGGTAATCAAAATACTAACACGAACAAAACTGCCACCGGTCAATAAGCTCAATAAAGTAATTAAAGTTACAATTGACTATTAGAGAACGACTTTTTCTAAAAAATTGTTATATTATTTTCTAACTCAATCAATCTGAATCTCTATACATACACACGTTGAAACTTAATATCAACAAGAAAACGGTACGAATTTTCCATTGAAAGTCGTTATTTTCGTTACGCGTGTGCAAGTAGTGACGAAATCTAAATCGTGGCGTGTGACTCACGTTTGAGATCACGGATAGCAGTAAAATTTTTGAGGCGTAACACGGTTTCCGCGAAAACAAATCAAACCGAATGAACTCTAAAATAGGAGGGGAATACGAATATTTTTCGTCGATCAGCCGATTTGCATTTTCGATTCTTAAAATCGGTAAGTCTATTTACTTTTAAACGCGTAATCGATCGGCCGTTCATTGCGATTCGTCGTTATCATCGCAGCCAGACCGATATTCGCGTTCGAAGGTTTCTATGACTCGCAAATCTGTTTTAATGCTCTTGATCCGCTCTTATCATTACTTTTCACTTTCGCATCTGTCACTTTATTGCGCTAGATGCTTAACAAAGTCGAGGAGACATCGCGAAATTCCAGCGGGACTTGCGAAACGCGATCTAAAAATAGGTGAAGCAATAATGCAATTCGATAAATCGCGCGTTTTTCGTAATCTCGTTGCACTAATCTCCCGAAGCACGTATTGCACTGACAAACACACGCACGTAATATTCCAAGTCCACAGCGTCTCGTCGAGAAAGAATGTAGACATTTCACGCGCTAATCTCGAAACATAGCGAATTCCTACAGAAATTAATACGACAGTTGAAACGAATGAAAATAAGCAAAAATATGGACGAATGAGAAAACATTGGCTCATTCTTAGATACGTGCTTGAATAGGAACATGACACTTTCTAAAACCATCGTTCTTATCATCCCGCCAAAACTAGTAAACATAGAAAACATGTGTAAGCACTTACCAGATTACGAATCGTGGGATACTCCTCGTAGATAAGAATCTTCCCTTTGAACAGGCCGCCGGGAAAAGGAAGACTCGAAGTTAGCTATCAGGAGAACCTCCCGGACTATCGGGATCCTGACAAATCAACTTCCGGTATTTTTCAAGAGGTTGCCGATGGTTATTCGTACAAGTGTCGATTTCAATTAGGATGTTTCTTCTATTCGATTCGTTTCGGTTCGGTGGTAACTGTGCCGTCCAGGATAACAGGTGGTACGTCGGGACTTCCTCACCGTGCAGAGTACTAACGACGTGTGACGTCGACGGCTCGGTGCGAGAGGGCTTTTATAGCCGGCCGTCCCGACTCGACTCGACTCCGCTCGACACGGCTTTGCCACGCCGGGAAGAGCTGCTCTGGCCCTATGGAACCGCTCCATCCCTTCGAACTTCGTACCTTTTCGCTTAGGATTAAGAAGTCTGTCTCGAGATTAATCAGAATCTGATCATCATAAAGATATCCAGAGCTCATTTTTTCCTGAAACAATCAACGATTGGAAATGATAGATAAATAATTATCTTAAGCTTTCCTATATTATTTAATGTGCAAGATTAAAGACTAATTCCTTTTTTTTACCTACAGAGGAACTTTAATTAAATTTTTCCTTTCACATTTAAATTAAGAAATATCTACCGATAATGTAAACGTCTTGAATCTAGTTTTTTCTTTGAAAATCGTTTAAGAAAGTTTCTTTATATCTAAATAAAACTGTTGCTACTTATCGTTTTGAAAAAAATTTAAAGAAAAGTTGCACGAAATTATGGTCATCATTTACCACGAAAATTGTTTTCATATTTTAACACTCATTCCAGAAATGTTATTTTAACTAAAATATTGCAAACATAACTGGATTTTACCTGAATGAAATGAAAACAGGATTTATCTACATCCATTTATTATAATACGTACGTATTTAATGAGCGTACGTCTAATTTCAATTTCACATAATTCTCGAACCCATGTTATGCATGATGAATTTGCAATTTAACTATTTGCATGTTGTACACATTGACCAGTGGCGGTTATTATGAAAATGCAACATCTGCCCTGGCATCAAACTTTCGGTAATGAAGTTAATCAAGATGAGAACTAGCATCTATTACGAAATACCAAAAACAATACCATATTAATTATGAAAACGAATACGTTTTAAATTACACCAAATATCGAATGTGCAATTTAAATAAATTAAATATATATATATCTCTCTCTCTCTCTTTCTTTTTATCTCTCTCTCTCTCACGAGGAAACGTTAAAACATTATTTACGTCGTACTTCAAATGGAACTCCTTACAAATTCGTACGGATTTATTACCATGAAATCATTACGTTTCCCCCGAACGTAATTAATAAAATAACAAAAGATACGTTTCAATTGTTATCGATAAAATATTATACCGATTTCGGTTTCCATTGACAAAACTTTTCAATAATACAACTTACAATTCATATATACTGGCTACCATGATAACCCATCTTTTATTATCTTCTATTCACATCAAGCTTTCATTTGGATTTTATATAACAATCTCCAGCCATTATTGTAAAATTTGTATAATATATTTCCCATGTACGTCACTGCAGATTAATTCAATAACTTAAATAAGTTAAAAAAAGAATTATTTTGTTGAGACACTGTAATTATTAGATGTCCACCGAATAAAGGACAATATTAATTAATTCTATTATAGGTCTTTCTCATTTAACTTGTTTATCTAAAGCGAGCACCGTATTTATTTGAATACTTAATATTTTACGAACAAGCTCATTCGCACCTCGCGTTATCGAGTGAACAAATGAGATTCACGAATTAGGAAACTGTATGCTAAGCTATTGCTCATTAAGCACGCACACCGACGGAAACTCAAGCATCTCTCCTTACGTAGGCCACAAGTATGAGCAGGATTCACCTTCCCCTCGTCTCGTAACTACAATCGTTACCACAGTGTGCGTGTGTGTACTCTCGCGAAAATAATTTCTCACCATTAAAGGATACTCGTATACCATTAAACAACAATTCATGCTCGAGGACTGAACAAACGTAGGCATATATCATCATGAATCCATTAAAATATACGAATGTAAATGAATATTCATTTACGCAGATGGTGGCGTGAAAATTGTCAAGTGATTTTTCTATCAAGCGCATTCGTGTTTTGTTTCTCAATTTTATACACAGAATTTTTTCCACGTCATTTAATTTTGCCATCAGTGTGAAATCGTTTCGTTTGAAATTATGTTTCGTAGAAACAACGTGGATTAGTCACCATTTCAAACGAGCTAATAGACTTATCAGTTCTGAACGCTAAAATCAGTAAATGGTGCGTAAGGGTGGTTCTCTGGATTCGGAGAAACGCGCGTCTGGTGGTCGATTGACACAGTAATTCGGTAGTAATCCAATGAGGAGACGATAAAGTCCACTTAACACCGCTGTATCGTCCGTACCTTTACTCGCGGGACCATCGAGAAATTCCATCGTAATGCAATTAAACCTCATCATCGGTGCGAGACTTCGCCGTTGTGGTAACACCATGCTGATCATCATGGCTGCTAATAGTGCTCTTAACGTCTAGACTAGACCTTGGTCTGATAACTAATTCCCACAGTGGAGTGACACACTATTCGACTGAACCGGCCAGATCGCCTGTTGCCGTTCTTTTATCTATAGACGTGTCCCTAAATTCGTAATTGCGCTATAGATTCACTACAATAAAGTTTAGGATAAGATTAAAAATCTAAATTCCCAAATTACTGTATCATAGATTGTACTGACGACAAAATTTATGTATCAATTTCGGGTTTTAGTTGTAATTAAAAAGGGAGAAACCGTAAAACAAATCTCGATTTTCCTATCAGACAGAGTCATAGTTCGTGTTAAAGACCGGCGATGTTGTTTAGCAATTAAGGAAATGGGAAATAACGATTTCACTCGGATGTTATAGTAGGTAGAATATGGCAGTGCGCTTTGAACGTTATTGGATGGTACCATGTAATGAAAAATTCCAAAGATCGTTAGACACATGGGATACACTTAAGGATCACTTTTATCCTGTGGAAACGATTCCACGTGCATTTAAACAGAAAATAAACGATAACTGATAATGATATTATAAACCTTTGCTGGTACTAAAATAAAATGATTGGATGAAGGAAGGATAGAGGAAAGGAGGTGATTTAAATCTTATATACTGTTTTCCTTGAATATTGAAGGACTGTCGCCAGCGCCAAATAGATACATAAAGCAATGTTAAACATAGCTGGAGGACGTCTAGAGACAAACGAGACAAGCTATATGGAGAAACGACTGTCTTTATATTATCCATCGTGTATCTCTCTTTTTGGTCAACAAAAAAATTGGGCTAATCGACACCTGGCCTGTTTCGTGCGAGTACCCTGCAAACGACGATACTTAATCTCGATCGAGTTGATCAAACGTTAATCAACGCGCGAATTCGTTTGTCGAATCTACCCTACGGAATCTATCATGCGAACGATGTTCCTGGGGTTATTGGATGATTCTGTATGGCCATCGATTTCGTTCCTGACAGCAGAGGATCTTGTGTCAAATAGAGGTGCACCGAGGGGCGATTATCCATCACTGAAGGCACGTGCGGCAATCTAAGCTTATGATATGGTGTAACTACTATGGCGGACCAATTAAGCAAATTATTAAAAAAATAAATATACTAACAAATGTAAAAGTGTCAATTTTCCCCAAATTCTTATAAAGATTAGTTTAGACAAATCGGTATAAAGAACAAGTTCTAAAATTAATAGTAAAAATGAAGGTTACTAATAGTGAACAAGATTTCATTTCGAAACATAGATTTCCACACGCGTATCGTCGCATCGTGTGGGAATTAGAAAAACGTGAAGATAAAAATCGAAATTAAACGCAGATAAATGTAGAATTCACGTGACGTCGTCAATTGAATAACTCGAAATTGTTCAAGGATCATACATACGTAAATAGACGACTTGACGAGATGTGATATACGGGGTGAACCGATAAGAACTAGTAGATAGAATATGTTCAGGACGAAAGAGAAAATATCGGTCACATTTGTCGTTTTACCTACATAAAATCTTTATTCTACAGTTGACATTAGTTGAACTAATTCACCTCCTATATTAATTGTAAAAATATTTGAAACGGTAATTTTTTATCGATTCACTCTGTACATGGATGTATTCGCGTTTGCCAATAAATAGATGAGATCGTTTGCATACTCGAGTCTAAGCTTCGTCCTTTTCTCAATTGAAAATAATCTGTACCTGATCGCGTATTAAATTCGGAGTTTAATTAACTATCCGAGGTTCGATTGAATGGAGCTTCGTGCGCATACACGCGCGAGCTTTATTCACACTCTCTTCCGTAGAACTTTATCGAGAGAACCTCGTAACAAAAGGGATCAATCATTCGGCTCGTTCGATTCCGAGGCGAGAATTTTTTCTTTGGCAGTGACAGAAAGTATCTCAAATTTTTAGAAAAACTATTTACACAATAACAATGCTGCGTTAAGATATTTAATTATAAAATATACTAAAATTGAATTTCGATGTTATGCATCTTTGGTATTTTATAAGAATATCTTTACTCGCCCAACGAGCAATCATACCCGAAACGAAACAAACGAGTCCAATTACCGTTAATGATACATTAATTTACCTTCGACGTAAAATAAAATGGACGAATCTGACTTTTAAAGATTAAATAATCCCGTAGCAATTATAATTTTAATTAGAATGTGTAATTGGCTGCCAGTCGAAGACATAATAGGAGACTTGGCACACAGCCAACGGCATCGACTAAATACAGAAGATATTCAATAAGATTTGTATTGATCGATCGATAGACGTGATCAAATCTGACGATGATAATTACGCACACGGCCAAATACATATTCTATATATTCGTAAAATGTCTCGTCGATATGTTTAATTTCTATGTATATTTTAAGCATGAAAATCGAAATAGCGGCTTTAGTTCCCACATACAGGTCAACATTTCAATCTATCTAAGCACAATACTAACAATTATTTATTTTAATCTCGTGTTAACATGAAAAGCGATTAAAGTAATTTATTCTCTTTTGCGACAGTTGCTTTCTACAAAATAATTTCCATGAATTTATTACAGATTAGTGTACTATGAGTTACATGCATTAAAAAAAAAATGCGAAACACAAAATGGACAATATTATTTCTATAGCTTGATTTATAAGAGTTTTAGCCCCTTTTCACATTTTAAGTTGTACTAAATTTTACCATAGCTACAACAGGAGCTTGTATATGCATACATATACAAATAATGCATCACTGTCAGCTTACTCCGCGATAAAACGTAAAAAGGTGTCTTTCATTTATTCGAGTAAAAATTATCGTACTCTTTTGCCAGCCAGTTTGAAAATGAAAATTGATGACAACATGTTTAACGCAAAGTAGAGTACATACCTACACAACAACGAATAAGCAGAATTTATTCTCTATTCAATGATGTATGACCTATAGAGAGCTCATTCTCTGAAGTGTGAAAGCTAAATGACTACGAAAGCTTCCATTACCTACTTAACGCAGGCTGTAGAAATCACATATTATAATTGCCAGGTCACCGCCCTTTTTACGCAACTTTCGCAAGACTAAATGGTGGAAATTACTCAAAAATATTTAATTTTATTTGAAACATTGTTACTTTATTAATACAGAAATATTGCAAAACGGAAAAAACACATTTTACTCCATTTCCATTCTCAAGGATGGAATTTCGAGAAATTATTTCTCAATGTGCACCTTTCAACATAAATATATAAATAAAATCAATTCTTCCGCTCTTACGCTTAACGACCAACCATACATACGTATAACGATGTGTATTCACCACCACATAGAGTAAAACAAACATTGAACTTGCTTTTCTTCAAGTTTATAAATTTCAGTTGATGACAGAAGATAATTTATGGATGCACTCATTCATGTTTATCAGATTACAGTATTTGTAAGATCTATTTGCTAACGGATTATCATCATTATACCTGGTTAATGCAGTCACAATTCAAATAAAATTATTCTACAGTTTTCATAGTTAAATGTCATATATGCAAGCCTGTTCAATATAGTTTAATCAAAATACTTAAAAGTTCGAATAAAGATTAAGCTCGAAATTCCTATAATTGCTATTAAAAAATATATATTTAATATTTTATTAAAAATATGATTCGCAAATATTTACATGTTTAACTTAATGAATATGAATTATATAATTCCAATATCCTTCTGTTTACATACAAATATGTACATTTATCTAAATGTCGAAGTACTGACCATTTTTAAAATGACATACAATAAAAATGAAATCTACGTATTGAAACACAGAATCTGCGAGATGAGATATAAAAGCTATTACAATCAACTGAAAGTTTTTTATATTTATATGAACGTCAAGTCAGAAATAATTATACGATTTTATCACTGCGAAACAGAGTAGAAAGATACCCAAGAATAATTCGACTAACTGTCCATATCAAAGGAATGGTTAATTAAAAGGAAACGGATGAGATAACACCCATTTCATTTCTTTCTTAGAGACCTGGATCGCTCATCAACTAATTATTGAAAAACGAAAGTAATAATTGAAGCTTGCCGCTTGATCAAACGTCGATATATTCCTTGCATTGACGCAGAAAGATTTTAATTAGAAATACAGAAGGAGAGTCAATTTACAAATCATCACTTTGACTACATACATTCATAAAGCTAGACTTAGAAATATATTTGCAACTATCAGTCTTTAATTAACACCTGATTTCCTATTCATCTCGATAGATTCAGACACTATCATTTGATTCCTATTTCTCGTTAGCTTCTTATGTCTATAAATAACAGATTTGATTAAAGAATTATAAAAGATTTAAATTATTAAAATTTACTTACAATTAAGCCCAGGACACATGGAAACTTGTACACAAATCAAACACGATGATGTCCTACTCGGCTCGAACTCTGGCTGTCCAAGTGAAGTCTGGCATTTTGTGCTTATCTTAGTTCCAAATTAGAGTCAATAGTTAATCAATAGTTAGTCTTGTTTGCAATCGTATAAAATCCTTCTCTAATATTCGCTCCGTATAATAGAGTAGCAATTTAATAGGGAAGGGGGCAGTGAGTATTATCCACTGCCTGGGTCTCGAACGTAGACACCTCCACGCGGTGAGACCTGGGTTGACAGCATTTGCAAAATCTTTGGAAACGGTACCGGACGAAGAACTACGATCTACTTTAAGATTCTCTGTATCTCAAAATGTAAGATATTGTAAAGTATGTTAGTCTTTCAATACAATGTATGTGCTAATGAATGTTACGACGAAATAAAGAAAAGAACTCGATTGAATTCTGATTAATAAATGAATGAAAAGGAATCTTAGCATTTTTATTTCACAATTCTCTCTCAAATAATTTAATGCACGTACGAATTAATATCAGAAGCGTCACAATTGTACTAAATACCTACCTGGAAGACGAGAACTTGTCATTCGAGTGGAATGATTGTTTGACTCTCGGCACAATGCGAAATATGGATCGCGGTAAAGATTCCAGACACTAACATTGAAAATTTTGAAAATTTCGTATAGTACACGATAAGTACACACGGACGCGGTATAAAGGGCGCGTGGAAAAGGGTGAATTTTCCGTGGAAAGTTTGAACGTAAAAATCGCTAATACAAAAAAATCGCGCTAAGGGATGAAATATTGAATCTCTCGGGAAAGAAATATAGAGAAAGAAATATACCTCGCATTTTCTTTTTCGAACTTCCTCGAGGCTTCGCGGTGAGCTCTGCGAACTGCGCTTCCAGCCTGCGGCACATACAAAGTATATTATGTACTTAATTTCCACCATAATTTAAAAATTATTTAACCACGTATAAGAACTAAACTGAAAACTCATTGCGTAAACGTTATTTGACAAGAATGTGACATCTGTGACTGTACTTCATAAACTAAAATACAACACGTGTAACACCAAGCGTCCACCGAGAATATACCGACGCTCTATTTGCCGTTTTTGCATTGTGTCTCCATCTAATGTAACGAAACGCGTTTCAGGCAATATCACGCAATATGTATCCTAAATCTGTTGATCGTATTTATGTCAAAAGGTTATAATATTTTAATAATCATGTAAAGTGTTGTTTGCATTGTTGATCATACATTATACAAGTGAAACAGACAATTGATGTAATCTCAAAATATGGCAAAGCTGAATGTGATTAACGATTTCGAGAAATTGTCGGACTTGGAGAGGGAACAAAACATAATTGATAAAGAGCCTTTTCGTCACTTAAAAATCAGTGATGCACAAGTTTTGAATACGATAGAGGGTAGAGAAGCATGTGCACGTTGTTACAAATCGCGAAAATTCTTTTGCTACTCGTGTTATTTACCAGTCATCAGTGATGAGTACTTCCCACGAATAAAGGTTTTAAGACAATCACGTAGTTGACATAAATACAGATGGACGTAAATAAAGGAGAATTTTTAATTTCAGCTACCGATTAAAATTGATATTATTAAGCATGCACGTGAAATTGATGGAAAAAGTACTGCAATCCATGCAGCTATACTTGCACCAGAAGATGTAAGAATCTACACATATCCTGATTTTCCAGAAATACTGAACAAAGAGGAGGTATAATGGCATCATCAATGTATTTTATATTACCCAATTCTTTAGAACTTCATTATGATTTAATATCATCCCATAGACTGTTTTAATTTTTCCTAGTCAAGCTGGGATGACAGTGGATTCTTTATGTATAAAAGAGATGAATCAAGATGGAAAGAGAGTTGCATATAAAATACAAGATACATTCCCTATTAAAAGGGCTATTTTTATAGATAGCACATGGCATCAGACAAAAGCTATTTACAAAGATCAAAGATTGAGAGGTAAATATATCAATTTTCAATTTAAGAAGACATTCAAATGAACAAAATTTACAGATTTAAGATGTGTCATTTTAAAATCAAGAATATCACAGTTCTGGCGACATCAGAAGAAAAGCCCAAGGTGGTACTTGGCTACCATTGAAGCAATTCATCAGTTCTTAGTAGAATTGCACACATGCGCATTTGGTACGGTACCAGAATATGCTACCACAAATAATAACGAAGGGAATTGCATAGAAAACAGTATAGGCCAGTCTAAAAATAAGTTACCTGACACAGATCAAAGATACAGGGGTCAATACGATGATCTTTTATATTTTTTTAAATATATGTATGAGAAAATTCATACTGTATATGATCATGATAAATTATGGGCATACAAAAGGCCCTTGAGATAATTCTGTGATATCAAAGCATATTATAAAAAAAGTTAAATATAAGTTTATTAATAAAAGGATACATAAGATGGTTTCCCAATTTTTATTTATATATTTATATTATATATTTTTATTTATTTCTTTAGATGATATTTTCTAACCACTTATTTCAAATAGAAAGTACGATAATATGTTATGATGCTGATGGTGCACTCCACTTATTGGAATTTAATTTATTGTATCAACGATAGATTTCGCCCTGGAATGGATGACGGAATAGGAATTTCCAATGAATCAAACGTGAAATTATGTTATCCTTTTTTACGTAAAAGCCCACTTGATACTTCGAGAGTACGATCACGGTATTATTTGATGCAAACCAAGTGAACAAGGCGATATTCGCGAAAGAAAAGGATGGAACTGCATATATGGACGAGCGCTCATCGATTCCACGTAGTCTTTCCGGGATTGTTTATTATGCACAAAAATAAACAATGAGCGCGGGGAGCGCGCACGGGAAGGAGAACGCTCCTAAACAGTGGGGAGGCTGTTCGCTGAATCACGAATAGCTGGCAATGACGTCACAATCTCCTCGTCTCTCACGTTCCACGACCCGCGGCGCCCGTCACCCGTCTGCGATGAGTTTAGTTTTCAAAACAAGAGTCTGCTCGCCGCTCGTAGGCCGCACTCGCGTCTAAAAAATCCGTAAATCCGAGGCAGAATCGTAGCCCGGTGACACGGAAGGTCGCATCGTAATCGTGTCGCGCGCCGTTCTATCCTCGTCCGTTACGATATCTCGTCTTATTTCGATTAAAACGTGACACGGGGAAAAAATGGACACCCTCCGCGAGCAGGTGATGATCAATCAGTTCGTACTCGCTGCAGGTTGTGCCAGGGAGCAGGCTAAACAATTGCTGCAAGCGGCCCATTGGCAGTTCGAGGTAAGAGTAGCAATTTTCGTGTCTTTGCATTGATAAACATCGAGAACTTCACTATATTTATGTTCGTCGCGGCTCGATACTTTCTACGTAAACAAAGCAGCGAAAATGGCCGACAGCCTTACAATTAGATTGTATTGTTACGTTCCACTCGCAAGTATTTAACACGTTCTTACACGCATCGTTTAAGAAAACCAATTGAATTCGATCGAACGTTGCCCGATTGTCGTGCACGTAACATACTACAATCAGTATTAAAATTCGATTGGTAGTTACCGATTCGCGTGAGAGCAGTGAATCGGTGAGCGCATTCACTAACACATATAGGATTGAGTCCATTCATAAAAATCATACGATGTTGCTAAGAGGTTTTGTTCGTTATTGTTGTGACGCGCGGACCTACTTGTACTCATAGTCAAGGTTACGAATGCAGCGTGCTGTCTTTTCACGCTAAATCCTTGTAATCATATTTCTTTTTGTTTATTATAAAGAAATATTGCAGATAAAAGAAATAAAAGGTAATATCTGCTACCAACAGATTACTAGATGAAGATACAAAAACTCATTCGTGCAACATTGTACATAATGATGTAACTCAGTAATAATTCGGAAAGATAAGATCCATGAAACATTGATGCGTAACACTGTGTAACCTTCTACTAAAAGGCTTCCGTTTGTTTTTATTTACTCAGCTCTTATTTACTAACATCTATACTATGAATCCAAGATTTATTATTTTCATGACTGATGAATTTTACGACAGCAGTTACAATGTGTGTACAATTCAAAAAAAGAAATGTTATTAATGAAGTTTCAGTGACTAAACCAAAAGTAAAACGTATATTGCACGGTGTTGTAAGTTTTATCAATGTTAGATAAACGCATCCTTTGCGTGTAGAGTTGAAGCGCGTATTTGACGTGCGTAAAATTTCGTCGGCTTAAAATAGGGTCATGTATCTACATACGTATCATCGCTCGCTCGATTTCTTCAAACCCACTCCGTAAACCGACTTGGCCATTAACAATGAGAACAATGCTGACATCGCGTGCGGCAATCGCGAACAATAATTATCTTTTCGGGTACAACCTTTCTAGGCCTATCGATTTACAGCCCATCAGTTTGCACTAAAAGCCTCCGTCAGTTTATGGAAATTAGATTACAACCCGCGTCCTTTACATCAGCAAGTTAACAACCTTTGATACGTAAAACAGAAACATGTATGTAGATACAATTCGAGCTTTTTCCCTAAACACGATGCATTTCGTTGAGATGACTATGCTGTGTAATACGCGTTTGTATTTTTGTGTGTACAAACTGTCTAAAATGACTTAAAAATCCTTATTTAAAGTACTATTCTGCAGTAAATGTCACCGTTTTAAATGTCACGGGTGAGGTACCGGTCATGGCAGGATTCCGGGGTCAAATTGTATTAAGCAGTAAATACTATTTGCGGTTTATGACATGTGTAACATTTTATAATTTTTCCATTATTAATTTGATGCCAACTTTATTCCCATTTCCTACTTGATTTGGCAACATGTTTATTGATTACTTTAAAACGTGCAAACAACTCGGGCGATAGGAATTTGATATACGGAATTTTTGCTATTTGTTCTTAAAGCTTTCGCACGTAAGGTCAAGAATCTGCAGCGGCCTTTCAGCAATTAGTATCTTGTACACGTTAAGCGTTACTCGGTGTTTATTTTTCGAAAGCTTTATGCACCTCTTGCAGAGCAAGAAAACTTTAACTCGTTTCAAAGCGTTGCCAAGAGTGATCGCAAGATTAATCAATAATTTACGGGTTGCGAAACCAGATCAATTATTCTGCAATGTAAAATCTGTATCATGTGTGCCCTGTGACAATGAGCAATTGCGACACGATATTAAACGGAAAAGTGTAATCTTCGATCGTTTCGCGTGTGAAGTTTCATAAGAACTGTTTCTTATTTTATATCATTCTTTTTTCATTGTAGTAAAAATAATCATCACGTCATCCAAAGTAAACAGGTTCAACTTCTTAAATTCAGAATATTTCTACGACATACAAATACTTTTTTGAGATTGGCATGTCTTCCTGCACCTTGCTTATACACTTTCGTAAGTGGCACACGTAAGATCAATACACGTAGTCGAATCTGGGCGGCGTTTTATTGTTCCATGCTATTATAGCAGAAGAACTCTTAAGCGAAGCCTATATTTTTTAATGAATAATTTTTTCCATTAGTTTTAATTACGAATCGTAGTATAATTCCAAAACTTGTAATTACTGAGGTGACTAAGATGCTAGTCACACGAGTTTCGTAATTTCGCGTAAGAAATATCGCTACCATGCTTTAATGAAAAAAAATACTGAGTTACTCTAATACTAAATGTGCGAAAAGAACATAGTTTCAGGACATGTTGAAGAGAAATTATAAGAAGAGAGGGAATTCAGTGTGTTCGTTGAATTCGGTCTGAAAACTTTCTCTGCTCGAGCCGCTAATGCGTTTAACAACAGATTACGACACGGGTTCTAATGACTACTGGCAAACTGGTATGCTATACCAGTACCTTTCCAGTGTCTTTCTCTTTCCTCCATTCTCATATACGTATGTAAATACACAATTGGTACACAATTATCCATTAAATTTATGCATGTATTGACGTTGCAAATCATTTAATGAAACAATGCATACTTCTGTCGGATTATTTTTCAAGTCTTAAGAAATTAACATTAACTTATTGTCACATTTAGTGGCAACTTGTAACCCAGTTCATCACGTGTAAAAAATTTAATTGCCAATAATAGTAGAGACATAGAAATTGCACACAATTAGTTTGCACTTATCATAACAAAAGCTCCTCAACCAGACGATACAATGAGACATGAAATAGTAAATATTCTGAAACTAAAATTCATGCGTAATCCCTCTGGTTCGAGTCTCGTAAACTGGTAATCATGTGATCAATTCTGATATATAACGAGACTAACGTGCCATTAGAATATAATTGCATGCTCGTTGCGTGAGTATGGCAGCGTGTCCGGTGATAGAAATAAGACTATTGTTGCTATTATCGCGGTATCAATCGGCGGTAGCCAGGCCGTTATATCGAGGGATTCTTTTCAATGGTCGGGTTTCGAGCTGAGGAACGGCAAAGATTACGACGGTCCCATTGCGGTGACATCTGGCAAAGTCCATCTGTTCTGTTTTTGTCGCCGTCAGTGTCTCTCATCATTAACAGACTTGTACCTTCGTGTCTCTAGTCCACGAAGGTCAACGAGGCCTGGACCACGCCGGCTGTTCGGCCGACCTGTTTCCATTTTCTTTGAAACTTACAAGCTCCGGATGTATCGAAGGCATACTCGTAATCGCAGTCACGGTTACGTGACCTGAAGGGTTAACTTGTATTCGACTTACGGACTTTTAACCATCGCGCTCTAAGATAAATATGACAATATGAAAAAATAAATGATTTTCTGATTTAATAGACCGGGCATCCCTAATAATAGATTAATATTCAACAGTGTCATTATCTCTTATCTCAATGGGTTAACATACTCGAACCTATAATTATCATCAGCAATACTTTTCAGTAGCTAACTACAAAATTCTAATCATAGGTTCTGTACGAAAAGTATTTCCATACTACGTCTTACACTTAGTATAAATATTGACCATCGAGTCTCTCAACAATTTTTGGTTCTCTCTATTGCAAAAGAAATAATAAATTGAAAAACATTTTCGAAAATTGTTAGCGCGTAAACGAGAGAAAAGCTTTTTATACATGCATCGGAAATTCTCCTTGCTTCGCTTTTTTCTTCGAATTTCTTTTACGAATATTTTGAAATATTTTTTTTAATGGGCCAGGCGGAAAGTTTCGAAGCATAAATTTGTCTGTGATTCTCTTCTCGTTTACGTGATTTGTATTGAAATACGAAAACTTCTACTTGACATCCAAGCATAAATCCTTCACTTCGACTTTGGTTTTTTTGTCATTGTTCTTTTTTTATACACGTACAAAAATTGATACGGATAAGAAATTTGCTTGTGTGTAAAGACGATTAAAGAGTTTATTAAGTGTACACTTATGTAATGAAATTACGGATTAAAATATGAATTGAATTCTTTCCTTCACTTTTCTCAAACTGCAATTAACAAGTTTCGTGGCATTACATACATTTATTTATATTGAGGATTTAGGAGGAAAGAATCAGTTTCAGGCAAAACAAGTTTGTCGAAAAAATAACGTAATCTAGTATATGAAAAATGTAAATTCTAGTATGACCGTGAATTTCATTTAGTGTAATAAGTCGAATGATAAAATAAATTATCTTAATATATGGCAATCGCGTATAAGTACGTACTCATGGAAAGCTTCCACATATATAATCAAGATTATTTTATCGCATAAATCGAACAATTTAGCTGGCTACCTATCTTTAACAAAGTTTTTTCACGAGAACAGTGTTAATATTGAAGTACACTCGCATTTGTACTGTTCCCAGCGTCCAGTCTTTTCAACAAACAGAGATAAGGTTCATTACTAATGACTTATCCGCTGTATAACATTTGTGTAACGTGATAAAGAAAATAACAAACGTGTACCTACAGTGGCTCACGGAAGTATTCGAACGCTGTTTGCACTTGCAAACCGGTCACTGTATACCTATTTTTTCCCAGAATTTGCAAAGCTGAAGCGCAAATGCCATTATAATATATGCAACCGAAAGATGTTATTAAGATATTAACAGTCATATTTCCCATTCTTGAGACTAAAGTATATTACAATAATTTTATACTAAATAGAAGTATGAAGTGTTGGACACAATTCGCTTTCAGTGAACACGTGTGTGAATACCGTTAATAAACATTGTCTTTGAACCACGGTTCAAGCTGTATCAACAAAGTTATCATGGCAAAACTTGGTGCCTATCTGAAGTTAAATATCTGAACAGAGGGTTAAGAAAGAGAGGCGTGCTAAAAAAAATTCTACATATGGTTAGAAGTCGAGTTGTGACTGACTACAGTCACGTGGGTTCACAGTTATCACTAGAAATTCATAAGCTTCTCGCTCACCTTGCGCGAAACCAGATCTTGCAATATGTACACAATTTTTGTCAAATAAACTACAATTATGAAAATAGGGGAATGTCACATAGTTTCATAATTTATTTTTAAAACTGCTCATATGCAGGAAATGTCTTAATTTCTGTTCACGTTACAATTCCTACGCGCTGGCTTATTTTTCTACAAATTTAAGGTAACATTTAAAGTTATAGGAAAATATGCCAGTGAAAAGAAACTGCGATGTGAACAGAAATTGGAACATTTATATTAACTGAAGAATCTTGTTTAAGTCAATTTTTAGAATAGATCCTGGCAAATGGAAAAGAACGATTGTGTGAAATAATACAAAAAATTGAGCGGTCATAAAATTGGGCAGGATTCAATTGAAATATTTGCATTTCCAGTGATTTAACAGATTTCTGTTACAAGATCGCGTTACGAGCTGAAATGCGACCCGGTAGTGTATCGTTACATTCGAAAATCCTTTGGTGGATCTCGCGAATTCATCAAAATTTTCGTAGAACCGATTAGTCGAACCATATTACGTGCGAAGTATAATACACCTGGCGAGAATCATTGAAGTTTATTCACATCTTAAATGACGTTACTAAAAACGTCTCCCTAGAGATTTAACGGCATGGAAAAAGAGTTGAGCGATTATGCCTCATGCTTCTCTAAAAATTTCCTATAATCGCGTATAAATACAAGCGGCTGGTAAAAATAGCACGGTATTCATTATAAATATCTGCCTGAACGGTTTTATTCTCTTCAAAGTAATCTCTTTCTTCATAAATTTACGATGCGTGTTTTTCCTTTCCCTGTTCCTTTGCACAATAATTACGCTTACGCTCTTTTAGTGTACGACGATGAAAAAATGCGGATAATTTTTTACAGCCATTATACGAAATAAACCAAAATAGTATTTCGTTTAGCTATGTTCCTATTATTTTCTTTAAGATTTCCACAAATAAATGTATGCGCACGTACTCGATAAACTGGTCTAATAAATGCATGTAATTACATAGTACTTCCATTGGGTTTGCATATTAAGAAATGGGGTTGAAATATAAATTATTTAAAGTTCATAGCAACAACTTCGTACATAATCCACAATTTCTTAATGTTCGATCTAATCACAGTTAATTTATGATTTTCAGACTGCGCTTAGTATTTTCTTCCAAGAAGCTGCGATACCTCCGTGCGCACAAGGACCTGGTACACATTTTGGCCAAGTAAGTCTATAAAAAATTGGATCTTCAGGAAGTGAATATTATCATTAATTGCTTCTGCGATCGACATTTATTAGGAGTGATTATCGTCGGATTTAAAGTATTTAAACGGTACTCGATTCGATTAAAATCAATTCCTGTATCTGTACGCCAATGTTTAAGAATGTTATGGCTGTAGATAAAAATCATTTTCAAATTTTTACTAAAACTCTAAAATTTTACTTTTATTAGAAATATAAAAACTCAACAATAATAAAAGGAAGTCAATACGCAGCCAACATATGTATGTATATTTTTAACCGGACGTCAAAAATCGGACAACAAAATCCGGATAATATGTAATGGCTCTTAATCGATACAAAACTATTACCACATCAAAAGCTTGGGTGACGACTTCTGTTCCCAACGACTCTCTCTTTTATTTGCGTCACGTGCAACGATCCGCAACGCATCACGCGAATGATTTTATTCATTAGCTTTGTTGCGACGACGGAGACTAACCCCGTCAGAAATGAATTTTTTTATCGCTTCTCTCGTTAGTGGAAAATTGCATTGGATCGATTGCTATATCAACAGTCGAGGCGAATTCAAATGTTTGGTTTCGTTTCGCGAATATAATATTGCCTTTTTTTTCTCTTCTGTTTCGTTCAATCAGATGCGATTCATCGTTGCTCGTCATTGTTTGATACAAGTAATAAATTACTTTTATGTACCAAATTACAAGTTAAAAATTGTTCACCACTACTTTAAGACTCTTCTAATTAACGATTTCGTACACAACCCATGCACGATGACGATGCTACATTATTTTTGTGCTTCGTCACGTAATACAAGGGAAGTGCGCAACATTCGACTACCTGAATAGGCACAAACATTACTCTGTATAATAATAAATCGTAATCGTGTCATAAAGTTCATAAACCTGTTTTCATCACGAAGGAAATTAAAAACCGAGTGTATACTTTATGTGTGCACAGTCACTCCGATTGATATTCGTACCCATTTGAAAGCTGAATAACTTTTTTAATATTGGACGAAATAACTTCAGATTAAAAAAAATGCTATTCGTCGAAGTTTTGAATAAAAAAGTAAAGAGCATGATCTCTAACTTCTTTATTCAGATCTCCAATAAAAATTTGAAACTCGTTTTTTGTAAATCTAAGTAAGTTATAGTATATGTATAGTAAACTATGCTTTCTAATAGCCCAAAGAACATTAAATTGTTTGGTTCAGTATTAAAATATTTATACAGTTTTGAAATTGGTACGGATGTTGGTAGGAGTGACTGCATATCAAGTGTGCCTGAGTCATTTACATTATATAGCACTAGCATAAGAAATAGTCCGTATTATGTAAATTTACCATAATAAAAAATCCTTTGGTACTCGCGGTCCAACGAAAACAAGCTATGCTTTTGTGACATCGGAGCGAGGCAGAGTGGGAGAAAATCAATTCGTTGCATGCCTGACCTTCACAGAATTTCATCCCTCTCGAAACGGTTCAGAATTTTGCATGCTACGCTCGAGCTTCTTACTTCCACTATGTATAGCTTCCTCCAGAATTAACCCTTGAATGCCGACGTGTTTCTAAAGCCCCCTCGAGTCACGAGCTAAGGTTTCTTAAAACATACCGCAGAGTACTCACATATTTATTTTACATAAGTCAGTCGAGCATCTAAATCGCTGATTTTACAAACAATTTGCTTTACAAAACGCAAGGTTCCCTGAGCGAGTACAAGTCTCGGCTCGGTTGTGTGTAAGTAGTTTAGAGGCGTTATCGTTGAACGTTGCTTAATGAATCGGCAGGAAAACACTCGTAACTCGAGCGTGTGTGGTGAAATCGCAATGCTCACAAAATATGTGACTAGCTCTTTATCGAACGAATAAAAACCACCACGCGCTATTCGTTTACGCTGTTATCAGTATTGTTAAACAAATGCAAGATAGCCGTAGGTGCAAACCTTATTCAGGTTAAAAAAAGCAACCACTATCATACAGATAGCTTTTTATGAAGTTTAATTTAGAATCGCGATGAATTAACAATTTAAATTGTAAATTCGAAATTTAATATCTTACAAGAACATAACAATCGTGTGAATCACGGCGAATTGATATACATGTATGTATGTAACGTATTCGCGAAACGGGAGGCTAAAAATAATTTATTTATATCCGAGTTTCGACGGGAAGAACCTCTGCTCTAAGCTTTGAATTAAAGTCAAGGTGATTGCGTCGTACTAATATGTGTCAATCCTTAATGTGTAGTTTCTAGTACCAACTGGTTCGCACGCGTTTTTCTTTGAGAAACGGAATTGTTCTGGATTAACTCCTGTTACATTCTCGTTAATTATATCGCAATTAATTGAGTATTTAATAAAATAATCCCAGCAGCACCAGGACAGTCTTACTGGTACGCTTGAAAGTAACCTAAGCGTAATCACTGAATCATGTAAATGAAACGAGCAAACTAGAGCTATATGTATGGATATTATTGCACGCGAAAAATCCGGAGCTTGCATCATCGTTTGAAATAAACAGCGCAGACCGTGTTTGTATTTTCAACTTTATGATCCGTGTGCGTGTGTAGGTACATAATATCTGTCGGCAGACTTGTTTGTAAAAAACTCAAATAATTGTTGTATACCATCGATATTTAGTATTTAAGTGAGATATATTTCCATATTTCCGATTCTTTATACCGAAAATTCATCATCCTTGATGCGATTCTTAAGATCACATTTTAACGTTTTATTAGTCTATAGAGTAGGTCCTTACCATAATTTAAGGTCAGTAGTTAAGGGTCATTTTAACATCTGGCTTATATGACCAAATTTATGATAACCATAAACGAAGGACTCCTGAACCACCTGATGGACAAGTTCGATCCGTCCGTCTCACGTGGGCCCCATGTGGTTGGGTCTCACATTTTTACTTTGTTTGGGGAATGAAACCCCCTCTGCTTTTTACTCTCACCCTCTCGGTATTTTTACTATTCATCTTGTATTCTAGCTAAGCGGATTGAGACTCGTACTCCGGAACTCTTACAGACAACATCTCATCCGTGTTAAAGCAGCAGTCTTCACCGCAAAGTTATATTTTTATGATTATAAAGATTAAGTTACGGAATGCAACATAATATACAAAGTCTCATTAAATAGATGTAGTAACAATGTTAATGCGAGTACACAATTGGCACGATTCCCGAGTCACCGCTACTTGGAGCTAATTATCGCGATAATAATAGTCCTTATTATTGATTAAGTCATTAGTCATTACGAAACGTTCATGCAAATTATTTCATAAACATCAAAGAAAAAACGAGCCTCCCTGTTCAACTATTCGTTTTACAAATTGCTTCATAGGTGAATAGATGAAAGAGACGAAGGTGTCGTATTTTACATTTTTAAATGCACACCACACGGAACTGAGTAATAAGGTTTTAAAACACTTTTCGTAATTAAGCGATTTGCATAATAACGCATCGCGTGGTTCTCCATAATTTAGCAAAAAAATTGCAAACGCACTCCATCGACATTTCATATCCTTCGATGAATGACACGTAAAAATAGTTACAGCCGCCCTCAATAACATTTATGTCACATTTTAAAACGGTATCACTTTTTTAATATCGGAATGTTTAAATGTTAAAAGACTTGGACCACTGTAAGTATGTTAGACTCTAATTGAATTATTCGTATTCTTCATTATCACTTATGCTTACAATGAGCTAAAAAATGCGTGGAAAATTAATCTTTACGACCGATAACATAACGTGAATTTTCAAACTCAGAGTTTCATGATTAATTTAATTAATTGCGATTTTTAAACAGTAAAACAAAAGTAGTACGAAACTGAGATATTGTGAATTCTATTTATCGCACAGACTTCTAATAATAGGAAATTATTTAACAAGAAATGTGATTTCGAGGATATCTCGCATTCCGCGTGACAAATCAG